TCCTGTCTTTCATGTGTCTATGCTTAGAAAGTACATTCATGATGAGTCGCATATAATACCTGCAGATACCATCGAAATTAAAGAAGGCTTGACTTATGAAGAGGTACCTATAGAAATTCTCGATAGACAAGTAAGGAAGCTGAGAACAAAAGATTTAGCATCGGTAAAAGTTTTGTGGAGTAATCATGATTCAAAAGAGGCTACATGGGAGGTCAAGGAAGATATGAGAGAGAAATATCCATATTTATTTGAGGAAAAAGGTATGTGAACCTAAGTTCGGTTTTACATTTATATTCCATTTATTAAATACAAGTTAGCAAGTGTTTATGTCCTTCCTAGATTATATTTAGTTGTCTTAGTGATTTAGTTATGTCAGAGTATATTTAATTCATTAAAGTGATTTACTTTTGCTAAAGTGTTGTGCTTTAGATTCTTGTTAGTTATTGTGGTACCTCCTTGCCGAAGTGTGAGTAATTAATTCATGGGCTGTGTATGGTGCCTATGAATGGCCTGTTGTGGTATATTTGGTTGTTGTTGGTGTAGTTGGGCTATTTGTGATAGGGATATATTTTTGGATAGTTCAAATTACAAGGAAAACTCTGCCGAAATTTTTGAAAATTTAGAGAGTTAGCCAAAATTTTGAGTCCCTTGGAAGAATGAGTAGTGCTAAGAAAATTTAAGAGGTTCAAGGACCTAAGGGATGATTGTTAGCTTAAGAATAAGGCCCTAGCAACATTCGAGGACGAATATTTTTAAGGAAGGAAGATTGTAACACTCCTCAAATTTATAAAAATTTTCAAAATAAGCTAATTATAGAACTAAATTATTATTATTATTACTATTTTTTTTATTTTGCCTATAGTGCAAAATATGTATATAATTGGATATACAATTAGGAAAAATATTAATAGTTTTAATATTTGTTAATTATTAAAAGTGGGTATCATTAAATACTATTTAAGTCAAAAAAAAAGAAGGGAAAAGGGACTTAAAGCCCATGAGATGGGCTGTTGGCAAACAAAGGCCTTAAGCCTTAGGAAAATAAGGTTAGTCACGTATAGAAAAAAGGGCAGAAGGCAAAATAGGTTCTGTCATTCTCGTAAACAAAGACAGAAGGCAAAAGCACGTCCTACTCACTCACGAAACAGAGAGCCGGGCAACAGAAAATCTAGGTTTCTTTACAAACCACAAAATTCTTGAACTCAGGTAAGTAAATTTCCCTATTGTCAATTATCCTATAGTGGTAATAGGTAAGAATGAAATAGTTAATTCCCTTCTTCCTCCATATCAACAATAAATTTCATATTTAAGTGTAGTACTTTAAAAATTGATTAGAATGCACTGGTTATTGTAGAAGCGATTGTTTGACTGGTGTCAATTGGACTGGGGCCTACGTATTGGCTCGAGAAGTTTTGAGGTGAGTTGATATAACCCTTTACTAAAGTGGTTTAACTCACAAAAGCACGCATACAAGGTGTTTGACGAATTGCTTAAAAGAGTTTATCTTTATTTAATTAGAGCGAGTGAGTACCCATTAATTTAGAATTGTTCTAGCAAAAGTTTAGATGATATATTATGCTATATGGGCTTAAATTTTCAGATTTTTGTGTTATTCTTATATGTTATTTTCATGTTGAAAATTATGAAGAAGAAAGAATCTTTAGAAATATTTTTATATGTTTATTTCATTCTTATGTCATGCTTTACATTTAAGGACACCAATATGAGCATGTACATAATGTTCTATAAAGAAAAGATTTAGACTTGAAAAGTCACAAGAAGAAGTTTTAGAAAGAAAAGATTTTTGGGGAGTATCCTTTATTCTGAGAAGGGGTCATCGTCCAGGCCGAGGGTCCTGACCAAGGCGTTGACTTCCTGAAACTACTTGTGCCAAAGTAGGGAGCATACGAGCCGAGGGTCTCGTTGCTGAGAATTTACTTAGCCATGCTAAGGTATGATACATGAGCGCTGAGAACCATGAAGCGAGTGGCACCTCGTGGATTGGGCCTATTCGATCAGGTTGGGATCAAACCCGTGTCGATCACATGGTGACTGAGACAGAATTAAGTCAGGATAGTTGGAACTCCCAAAGTATAAAGTGAAGTATTTTTTTTAAAGAAAGAAAAAGAAAAGAATTTCTTTTAGAATATTCATAAATTTCTATTATGCAATTAACTTAGAATTATTCTTATAAGTTTTATGTTTTACATGAATTTAGAACCTTTGCTCGTAATGTATATGTTATTAAAGTTTCTCCCCCTGTTGTTGAGATTCACTGAGTACAGTGGATGGTACTGACGTTATCTTTTGGGAACCTACGTTGGTCTGCGGTATAACGTAGGAACCGGATTTGCAGACGAGCAGGCTACGAGTTAGGACTTCCTTCCCTTCCAGTGATATTGGTGAGCTCTGCTTTTGTTCGTGGAGTATTCTTAGAGTCATTTTCATTTAACTATTTCTTTGTTTATTTAGAGAACTGGCCAGGAAATCTCATGTCCTGAGCAGTGCGTCAGTTTATCAGTAGAGGCTTCATAGACATAGTCATTGGGTTGAGATTCAGATGTTATTTTATAATAACTTAGCAATAATTCAGTAGTTACTACGAATAAAGCTTTTGAGTTGATTTATTTAAATATTTGAATTAATCAAAGTATTTGTTTAGAGTATTGCTTTGTTGCATATAAAGTTTGGAGTCATAATAGGGTTGATAAGTAGAGATGGTTCGATCGGTCATGTTTAGTGATCGAGTGCCGGTCTCGGCTTGTTCAGAAAATGGGTCATGACAAATGTGTGCAACCCCCGCCTCACCAACTCCTTGTACATGTGAGGGAAGTGTCTCTGGAGTTGTCTGACATTAATACCTCTCTCCGGAATTGGCGTTTTATGAGCCTTTTTCGCAAAGCGGGCCTGAGCATTGGCCGAAACAAATTTGGAATTATCAAAGGAGCGTGCAGGTGCAGCCCCTCATGACCTAGATGAACCAGCCTAGTTGCTCGACGAGGCCCCTGTGGTGCGTCGTTTCCTAGATGGAGTCATGATGCCTGCAAAACAGAGATACGTTAGCACAGCCCAACAGAAATTTTGTGACTCAATGTGGTTACTCAGACTTCACATGCATAAGGGGTCACAAACCATATAATCACGATCATTGGGACCTTTCCACAAACACCTTGGGGGCATTAGGCCTTCACAACCCCTTTTTAAACATTTTAGAACAAGAATCACCCACTGACACTCACCAACATCACATATCAAGTGGGATTCCACCCCACACTTATCATTCACCAACACTACAACATCTTGCACCAATTTCTCTACAAAATCTAAGTACAACTACTACAACATAGGCATAAGAATACAACCAAAAAATCTGAAAAAATAGAGAGAGAAATAAAAAAGAAGA